GGGTGTGCGTCTGGTGTCCCCCTCCAAGCCCTCCCGCCCTGTGTTCCCAGTGCCAGCGCCCAGGCAAGACTGGAGCTGCACCTGCTCCCCTTGCAGCCCAAGAGAAGCCCATGTTCGAGGAGCTGCAGAGGGCTTTCGCCCTGCTCGGCAGAGGACAGGTGCCTGCTGTGCCGGGGGGTGCTGCAGCCACCCCGCACCACCCCAGCGCTCCGCTCTGCAGGAGCCCTGCATGCGTAACCGTTACTAACCCCCAGGGCTGAGCTGTTCCTGTAGTCAGAGACACAGCAAAGGCAATGCCAGCTCCTGAGCTCAGCCTGGGCGCCTGGGGCCTTCACGTGGGTGCTGGATCCTTCTGGTGAGAAGTGCAGACCCTCTCCTCCCTCCCCAGCACTCTGGGTGCCAGGTCTTCTACGTCACAGCAGCTTTTCTGTCTTCCTCCACACTTCAGCTGGTGCTGAACAGGCGATGGGGTACCACCTCCTTCCTCCCAGCTCAAGCTGGCAGCAGGGCCTGGCTGTTCAGTCCATTTGGGGTGGCTCTGTCTGGTCCAGGCTCCTCTCTATGATTTGCTCACTACAGATGCTCTGTAGTCCTCCAACAGCCTTCCCAAAGGGGCAACACAGGCAGGGGCAGGAGCCTCACTGTCCTCCTAAAGCAGGTTGAATCCAGCTGCCTGCAGTAGGCCAGGGGCAGCCTGGAGCAGTGGGGACAGAGTCAGCGAGTTTGTCCATCCTCAGACTTGCTGTGTGATCTGATGCTCTCTGGACTCCGTCACTGTTAACTCCTCTGCCTTGTTGGACAGATGGGTCAACATGGGAAACGCTGTGTGTTAGTCTGATGTAACACACGAGAGGAAATTGATGGAACCTGAGTGCAGACAGATGTGCAGGGAATGATTTTTTTTTTTTGTCATTAAAGCTCACATCCTCCCTGCTCTCCTGTGCTGAACACAGCCTCGACCTGGAGGAAACGGGACTGGCACTGCACCTGCCCCTTGGAGCACTATCAGAGAAAAAGTCACTTCTCTGACCAGCATCTCTCTAGCGAGAGAGCCCTGAGAATGCCTTCTGCAACCGGTGAGTTGGGGAATAAAACGTTTGAGAGCTACCTCCGCCTCTGAGCAAGAAATCTTTCTTCCCTCAGCTCTTTGCAGGGGCTGTGAGATGGCGGTGTGTCACCTCTGTTCCAGGTCTTCTCTGGTGCCTGTCAACCACACAGCATGCACTAAGCAAAGCCATTAGCAGCTGTCACACACCTTACTTCTTTGCTCCTCATCCTAAGTTAAAAATACACCAGGGACAGCCCCTTTCCTGGGCTAGGGAAATTCCTGCTTCCTCTTCCCAAGCTGGGAATGGACCCTGGCCCTGGTTTTGGAAGACACTCGCGTGTGACGGAGCCACACCGCCATCCCTTTGGTGAAGGGAGTGTGTGGCAGCAGCACCCCCAGGCACTGCTGGGGGTGAGCCCTGCTGAGCGGGGAGCCCACAGCAACGCACTCACCCGGGTCGCCACAGCCTCCTCCCGTGCTTCCCTGCTGCTCCTCCTTGGATCCTGGGGGCAGCAGCGAGGTGAAGGTTGGGCAGAGATGTGCAGCACGGGCCGGGAGGTCTTGTCCCTAGCAAGAAGCTGTGTTGCTACCCACTGCCGAGGCTGAAGGCAACGAGCCACGGGACTGCAGCACAGCCAGACCCACAGCCCACCTCCCAGAGGAGGGGAGAAGCCTTGCTGCTGCTAACCACAAGTGTGAGCTCGTACTGGCTTCCAGGGCTGGATTTGGCCCCTGTCCCAACACTGCCCACGTTTCTGATGCACATATCTCTAACGGAGATACCGTAGCTACAGGTCCTGCTTCTTGCCCCCGGTGTTTGGGTGATGAAGTGGGGTGAAGTACCCATGGAGCGGTGGGTTGTTGGCCGGGCCATCCAGAGCAGGCTGCCTGCAGGTATACGGCGTGAGGGAGGATGGCTGAGCGTGAGCTTGGCAAGCTGATGGGGCTCTCCTGCTCCTTGTGCTAGAGATCAGGAGTGCTCAGTCATCAGGCAGTTAATGCAACACACAACAGGCCTTTTCTTCTTGTCAGTCCTGGCTCCTAGGGAGGGGGTGAAATGGCCTTGGGGCAGGTGGGCAACAGAAGCTATCCCGAATCCCATTAAAACATTTAACACCTGCTGAATCGTGCCATTGTCTGGGAGATAAAGGGAAGGGAACAAAGCTGCCCTTGGTCTTCCCTGCCAGAGAGCCTGCAATGCTCTGCTGTCCCACTGCAGCTGGGGGAGCCTGAATCCCCCGCAAAGACCTGCTCGGCCCGGCTCTGTGTCCGTGTGGGGAAGGGGCAGGGCCAGGGGACAGTCCCCTGAGC